TCCATTATACACGATTTTCTACAACTAGTTATGAACAAGGGTCTTTTGAGTGCTATTTTGCATTTGAGTGTACCAAGTGTTCATCCTGGATTTTATCATTTTCCAAGAAATAAATATATAAATGAGCTTATATTAAGATCAGTTATCAGTGATAGAAATTTGAAATTTGCCTGGCTCATGGTCATGCTTACAAATAACATTAGAGCCGTAAAGGAATACACTTGGGTAGCGTCTTGATAAAATATAGCCCTTGTTTGATTTTGATTATTTGAGAATCACTTCTCTTCCATACTCATTTTCAACCACACATTTTCCATAAAACCGTAACTTTTCCATACTTCTTAACCACGCATTCACAATTTTTTTTTTCTTTTTTTCAAAGTATCACATTTGCTAAAATTACAAACTTCAAGTGCACATACCGCGTTCAAGTAATAAAGCGGAATATGAGTTCTAGTCGATCCCTTGAGGAATGTTTACTTAATTACACAGTAATTAATTTAATTCTAACAATATAACATACATTAAGATTTTGATTTTGAAAATAGTAAAAATAACTAAAAAATTTACAAAAATAACAAATCTAAAAATTACGGAAAATTGGGAGGATAAAGTAGTTGGGATTCATAATTTTACTTAAACCGCCGTCTAATTAATTTCTCCACAAGAAAATTAACAAATTACTCATTTAGTATGTTAGACCCAATTTTCCTATTTTAACTAATTATCACTCTCGAGTGAAATTAGTCCTAANATTCATAATTTTACTTAAACCGCCGTCTAATTAATTTCTCCACAAGAAAATTAACAAATTACTCATTTAGTATGTTAGACCCAATTTTCCTATTTTAACTAATCATCACTCTCGAGTGAAATTAGTCCTAATCAATTGGTTTAACCTACTGCATCTCTGTATAGATTAAAATCCAATCAATTGCATTAATTCTTTGTAAATATAGCTCAATAGGTTACATAGGGTTATAAGTATATCCCCATCTCCTACAAGAAGGAATAAAGATCTATTTTTCAAGAGATGTGAAAGAAGGGACGTGTAGATCTTTACAGATGTTGATTGGAGAGGTTCAAAGGAGGATAGAAGGTCTACTACTAGATATTGCACTTTTGGATGAGGAAACTTAGTCACTTGGAGTAGTAAGAAACAAAATATAGTAGCCACAAGCAATGCACAAAGGATATGTGAATGATTGTGGTTACAGAAACTCTAAGAAGAACTACATGCCACTGTAAGATTACCAATCGAACTCTATTGTGAGAACAAAGCTGCCATCAACATTTATCTCAATCTTGTTCAACATTACCCGATCTAAGCATATAGAAGTAGACAAATATTTCATCAAAGAAAAGGTGGAAGATGGAGTTATTTGTATGACCTATGTTCTACTAAAGAACAAACTGTAGATCTCTTCACCTACGGTTTTTCAAGGCACAATTTTGATGATTTCATCTTCAAGTTGGATATAATCAACATACACGATCCAACTTGAGGGTAGTGTAAAAATCCTAGAGATTGATCATGATTAATTAAATCTTTCCATAACTTAGGTTGAATGTTAGGGTAATTTCTTCTCCTAAATTAGGAGATTATTTTTTCTTTTTTATCTTTATTGTTGTGTTATAAATAGAGTGTTATAGGTGTGTATAATTCATTCAAGAAATAAAGAAATAAATCATTCTGATTTCAATACAAGAATAATTCAAATGCAATCACTATCTTGAATTTGTGTTTATCCTTATTTTTTCTGACTACCATTACTTAGAACCACCTTCTGCACATATTTCTCACATTTCCACTGGAAGCTGCATTTATCTACCAAATATATAAATATGAGCTTAGAATATGTGCTCACACTAGCCAGTCCTCAATCTGTACAAGCATCAAATTTAACTGAAAATGAAGAACTAGAATTCCCACTCAATACAGAACACGCAGAACCTGTTACTACTCAAAATATGCAATTTCTGTGAGTTGTAAATAAATCAGTGACATTAACTTCAGTATAGAAAAATTGCCTAAATGCATTTAGTTTTTAATCAGCACATATTTAATAAAATCGAACTGGGCAACTACACTAAAGGGTTAGATGCATACCAATTCGTAGTAGAAAAAACAGCCTAATTCAGATTTCACAGTATAGCCAAACAAAAAATATATTCTGGAAGACAAAAGCATGCATGTTATAACCACATACAAAATTATATGCACGACCTGCTCAATACCTCCTCTTTCTTTGAACCTAACACTCACCAACAAACCCTACCTGAGCTCTTATGTTGAACTCAATTCATTTGTTGGAAGCTATTTCGAACTGAGTTGTGGAGAGGACATCATCAGGTATAAGCTCGGTATTTACACTTATATCTCTCCTTTTCTTATCATGAAGGTACACGAGTTGGGGAGACAGAGTCCCACATCGACCAGTTGAAGATCTCGCATTTGCAGTTGCTCGCTTTTTTCAGCGTGGGGGGAGCTTCCAGAATTATTATATGGTACATTAGATACCTATGTATTCCATAACCATTCTGACATTATATGGTTGAAAGGTTCATATTTTACTCTGGCTCATGAGTTGATGCGATGTATTCTGAAAGAAAGAAGACGGTCCTTCCTTTCACCCGTTTAAAATATTTACTTCTGAAACTTCTAAAATTTTCAATGCTTTTGTGGAACAAATCCTCACAATTTGCATGGACTGCAGGTTTTTCATGTTTTTTTTTTTGTTTTTCACGATTATAAATGCTGACTTGTTATCTTACAAAAACCATTTTTGATTCACTGTACATAAATTTCAGCCAAAAAGTAATTTCCTTGATTTTGTTGTTGCAGTATTTTGGTGGGACAAACTTTGGCCGAACTTCAGGGGGGCCAAATTACATTACAAGTTATGATTATGATGCACCAATTGATGAATATGGTAGGCTTTACAGTGTCAAAACTCTTGTTTGAGTGAATTTGTCCTCTTCAGGAAGAATAATTACTATCAAGGCAATACTTAGTGTCCAGACATATATATTTCATTTTCTTAAAAATTTCAGTAAATTACCTGCTTAGGATTACTCAGCCAGCCTAAATGGGGACACTTAAAAGATCTGCACGCTATCATAAAGCTTTGCGAGCCTGCTCTCGTCGCCGTGGATTCGCCTCAGTATATCAAATTGGGACCAAAGCAGGAGGTCTGTATATTATGCTAAAAAGGTTTTTGTCATACTAATAGCTTATTTTATTGGTTTGTTAGGTCTTGAAGTAGGTACAGTTAGTTACAAATTTGGTCCAATAATTCCAGATAACGCTTGCATCTTTTATAAGCGCGACTGCTGAGACATTATTAACGTGCTTAATAACTTGTTATTCGATTAAATTGTCAACGCTAGCTGTCTATGATTGTCAATGCTAGATGCCTATAATTGCTGTGTATGACAGAACATTCCTTATAGGCTGTAGATAGATGTATTTCAATTGTAACTAAGACTATCCATATATAACGTGGACTGCGATTAGTAGGTGCTTAGATTGAAGGATTCTAATGAATGTAATTGATGTCATATACTCTATATATTTTGAGAATACAGAAATGAAACAGAGAGTTCCAGCGAAGTCTCTATCTTTGTCATAAATAACTCAGGAGAAAGTTTAGCCATTTGTATCAAGCTTAAACAATCACTAATACACCTAGAATGAACAAAAAACGTTTGAATCAACAAAAAATTTTAGAAGAAACAAAATATCTCTTATTTCCCTTGTCAAATATATATATTTTATTTCAAAAGGACTATGCTTCCAACAAGCGCCTACAGTCGGGTGGTGCCCCTGCTGCCGCACTTGCATCCTGCTGACATCTCAAACTATGATTACCTGGCAAATACTCGGATGCATATATGGGTAAATAGGAAATGGTTGAAGATATAAATATGAAAGTAACAAGATTCTCCTCTCTCTAAAAGCTTAAGCTTTTAGAATGAAGTATCTCAACGTGCTATTAAATCAGCCAAATGTCTTATTTTCAAGTGTCACTGCCACCCAATTATGAAAATTTTATCGTTAGGTTTTTGATGGAAAATTTGTATCCGACTTTGCATGCAAAGAGGCATGTTCACTGTTCAGATGTAAATACAAATAAATAAATTTCCTCCCCTTTGTAAAAGTTTAAGCTTTTAGATGATATGTTACAATATAAATGCATCAAATCACTTGGCATATGCATCTCTGTCATATCATCTTCTCATTGAACTATTTCTGATTGGAATGGCAGCTTTCACAGGAATTAATTCCAAAAATCCTAGGAATAAGATCTCATGGTAGTGCCTTAGAAAGCTTGTCCAGTTTTGTTCCAACGAGTTTTCTCAGTGGCTGAATTCGTCCCATTTATTTTCATCCTGTCTTTTCTTTCAGTTTCACATCTTCTCTCTGCTTCTAAAATGTTGTGTTCTGTAATATTATTATTTGGATTTTAGGCCTGGTAACGAAAAGCTTCAGTTTCTAGTTATCTGCTCAGAACTGTTCTTTTATTTTCAATACTGGAACCTCATGTCTCCTGTTTGGTTAGAGGGACATGCAGGATTATAGTATGAGTGTGGTTGGGCAATTCGGCCGCACATTATCTAGTGGTTTAGGACATCTCTGTTTCAAGGACACTGGGGATTTTGTTGACAACAACTCCATGGGTAATGTGTTTCGATGTTATCTCACATACAATCATAAACTCAACTTGATGGAATTGTTTGATCTTAAAGGAGATTTTCTATAAATTTGCATGTGATAGGTGATTTCTTGGTTTCATCTAGTCATTAATAACTTCATTATTTTTAGATAATAGTAAATAGAAACTATGCTTGTAAGGAGTCCTATTAAAATCAAGGAATATAAGCCTGCCTGCAATCCACACCAGGATAAATAAAGTTTACCAAATACCCTGCTAGTGGAGCACCTCCTAGGGATAAGAAACAGGGCTAAAGAGAAGAAAAAAGGATCTTTCATGTATGATCCTTGCATATTCTTGAATGTTAGGTATGTAACAAGAAAGGCAGATATACCTGAAGTTACCATGCTCTGGTCTTGTTTTCTTTTTTGAGCGACCCTGTGATCTAAGATTGTTCATTTGCATCCATTAGCAAGTATGAATACACATATAACAATGACTAGGAAACTATAAATGCACAAATAGTAGGATAAATAATGAAGAAGCGGTGTAGTGGTGTCACTTAAACCTAATGCCTCATATTTCCAAGACCTCAACATTCGCCACTTGATTTAGGCTCGCCTGACATACATGTACTTCCCATTTTATAAACTTGAAAGAATGAATGAACCATCAGGGGATATATCAACTTTGCCACAAGAAATTACTATGATGTAAGGTGGGCCTGACATCCACTCTTATGAAACATATCCAGAAAGGAGTTCTTTACCTTTTTACGTTTTGTTAATATAAAAGAGATTAATGCGTCGTTTACATCTTGTTTTTGGAAAATAATCAGTTCAGCTAGGAGGACAGGGCCTGTATTTCTGATTCCTCTCAATCTCCCTCCACCAACTTTGGTTCTTATGCAGTTTATATGGTTATTTCAGGCACACGTGTACCGTGAAAATGTGCATAACAGTGACCAAAATTTGTCCTTTTATGAAAGCAAGTGCTCAGCATTTCTTGCAAATATTGATGAGCATAAATCTGTTACGGTAAAATTCCTAGGTCGAGCATATACTTTACCACCGTGGTCAGTTAGTGTATTGCCAGACTGCAAAAATGTTGCCTTCAATACTGCTAAGGTATGACTAAGTTCTCAAATTCTTGAAGATATGTGTTTAATGATTACTATGCAAGGTGGTTGTGACACGGCATGCCTACTTTAGTTGCACTCAGTTCGATTATTTCTTTACATTATAAGCTCTAAGCATCTCCAGAGTGTTTTTTTACAGAGAGGTTTTTGGAGTTTATTACATGAAGTTTTACATTATTATCTCATCAGTATTGATCTATAGTATTCATGCAGGCTTTGTCATAGAATATATCATTTATTTCAGTTGCATATCGGAGAAACCATACTTTGTCACTAATGATTCTTCTACTTTGAAGAATAAAATATGTTGGACTCCATTGTTATATTTGTAATCAAATTTTCTCAAATGACGGTGTTAAGGCTTTTTAGAAGGATTGACAATCTCACAAGACCTATGAGCCTCGTTTAATCCCGTTTAAGTGCTCAGGCACATGGTTTGAATGAAAAATTGTGGTTTGTTATCAGCAGTTGGTTATATCTTGGGAAATGCTAATCATTTTAGACTAGCTTACCAGGCTTTAGAAATTGCTAGCAAAACTTGGGAATTTATGCCATTTGATATTTTTGTTTCTGATGGAATTTAGACATTTTAGATTCACTTATATTAATTTTCACACTCAGAGATCAAATTACAGTACTACCACCATGTTTACTTTTAAAGATAAGCAAAAGTATTGTTGAAGCAATTTAAATAAATAAATTTGTTTCATTAATTGTAACTTAATCTTTTAGATGAAATGATTCAACATAATATCAGAGCAAAAAGAGTCCCGGTTTAGGTCTCGTAGCCATCAGCTGCGCAATTAGAAAAAAAAATTGCACGTCTGTTGGACAGTTGATGAAAAAACGATTCTGGCCTGAATGTTGAGGACATGGTGAAGAGAAAAAATTCAAACAAATGAACTTTCCCTATCTCTAACCTTTAAAATATTAGGTGAAGTAGTCTAACGAATGAAAAGAAAAAAATGTACTTGCATTACTATTACTTTTTGCCTTGTGTATGGATTATCGCTTTCAGTCCCGAAATGTAATTCATCACGTCCTTTTGCCTTGTGCTTTATCACGCCTCATGATCAGACCACTAACAGAATTTATAGTTCTATTATATTATTGAATTATGGGGTTTTGTCTTTCACTATTTGGAACAGGTTGGGGCTCAAACTTCAATTAAGACAGTAAGATTTGATGATATAAATGATCCTGCATATTTGCAAATGATGGATCCAAACCAAGTTACCCATATATCAGAAAGCTGGAATTCTGTTAAAGAACCAATTGGTGTGTGGAGCAACAGCAATTTTACATTTCAAGGCATATTGGAGCATTTGAATGTGACAAAAGACCGGTCTGACTACCTGTGGTATACGACCAGGTATTTGAAATATTAAGTCTTGCAAATAATAGTAAGTCCGAACTAGTTACATTTTACATTTTGAAAATCATGCGCATCGGATTTTAATGTTTTGTGTCAAAGCTTATGAACGATCAGTTGCTGATTACTTAAAATATTTGATGCTATGATCTTTGTGCATAAAATTTACCACTGCTCCTATGTTTGTATGCTAGAGTAGGTGATTTAAAAGCTAAACTTATATTAATTTTGTGATAGAGGGACGGGACCAGGTTGTGGGCATCATTAATATTCAAAAGCATCATCTCCGATTACTCCATAAATCAACATATATTAATTCTCGCATGCACTAATACATCCATCTTTTTATTTTAGGTTAGCTGTGGGGCATGGGGGATAAGGGCATGTCATATATCTCATCCACGATGCGCAATTTTCAAGTTGTATTTTGCATCATCCACTTATTCTGTTGTAGTCAGTGTAGTGTAGTCATATCTTTAAACTAATGATTATAGTCGCAGCTTGGTAATCAAAATATTTATGGGGATACTGATGGTCATTTGATATATGATGCAGAATACACATATCTGAGGAGAACATCTCATTTTGGAAAGATAATCAAATCAGCCCAGTACTTACTATTGACAGCATGCGTGATTTGGTTTACATATATGTCAACAGCCAATTCATAGGTATTACCTCTATTATAATCACTTTTTCTATCTCTCTCTTCCTCCCAAATATTCTTTCAGAATGATCATCAATGAAGATTATAAACAATTTCTTCTGGCAAAAGAATGGTTACGCCAGGGGGTCTCCAAATATTTCTATGAATAAGCTAGAACAGCTTTGATGGTATATGGGCATGAAGGAAAAAAGTATGACCGTGTTTAGCAAATTGATGAATCTCACATTGAAGCCGTGATGGATTTTTATTTTCGACTAACAAAGAAACAATTTTTTTTTTTTAAATTATGTGCCAACCTACGAGGCTATAAAATTAATTTCATTTGCAATAGAAAGAGAAAATTACTTGTTTGAGCTTGTCCACACGAGTGGAATTCATCCTCGAAATAGTACAGTCCTTCATTTTCTTTTGCACCTACCAATAGTGTTCCCAATGTGCGACTTCCCAAATTCACATTTGTCACATGGTTTAGGTCTTTAGTCAACTTGCTAATTGACAAAAGATTAGGGACACAAGTTTTACAATTCAAAGCTATAACTTCTGAGATAAGGATATAACCTTTTTGTACAGCTGATAGAGAGAACAATGGGCAGTTATTATTTCAAATTACCAGGAGAAGGACAATAGGATGAAAATAATTTGGAATGACCCATCATAAGAAAGTAAGGGATTAGCATAGAGTATCAAATTACCCATCATCACAATCTACTAACTTTCTTTGGTGTAAACCTCTACAAATATTTCTATGGTGGATGACAGTGGATCCTTTCCAAGAGTATACTTATCGTGCTCTCAGAATTAAAGGTTGAAGAACAATTTTTGCATTTCGCGGCAAAAAAACTGATTGGAGAAATTCTATTTTCTAGCAATCTAGGCCATAAAGAATCTCACAGATTTCCAAAATCAAGAAAGCAATTCTGGATGGAATTTTTTAATATTTCATTCACCTTACAGTAGAGCACATTACTATTTATAAAATACAAAGTACATATAAATGAGGAAAGTAGAGAGAAATTAGAAAACAAATTGAGACAACTCAGGGACATATCTCGTACAAAATTGGAAAATTCCATAAGTCGCTCCATATCATCTGCCATCTATCTAAGAATTATGAATTCAAATCTTCTTCTTCCACAAGGATTATAAAGCTTGTTATATAGGACCAAATTAAATTGCCTATTATGATAAAAGAAAATTCTTTTACAAAGATTTTCTTTGGTTCATGTAATTGCTGTTCTTCCTTTGAGCTGTCGCAAATTTCATCATGATCGTCCACTGTAGCTGATATATCTCAAATATTCTTTTTCACCTTTTGCTGGTTTTCTTTGAGATTAATGGCATTGATATAAGTGCCTTCCTGTTGTATTACATCTTTTGGAATCGAAGGTGGTGCGAAAGGTAAATGGATAAAGGTAGTTCAGCCTGTCAACCTGACGCAAGGATACAACGATATAACATTGTTATCTCAAACAGTGGGCTTGCAGGTAATCTGCTTTGACAGTTTATTTTGTCCGAACAACTAAAATAATGTAATTAATGAAATAGTAACTCTATATGGGGAATTTTTTAAAAACTATCTAATTCACCTTAGTTTCTGGGTTCTCACACTCTTGTAGTCTTTCTATTAACAGTTAAAGAGAGAAATTTCTGTATAATATTGTCAATGGAATTCAATTCTGCATTTTTTATTTCTGGTGAAACACCACATTATTTTGGTTTTTTTTTTCTTTTGAACTTCATTGCATTTTTATCTTTATTTCAGTTAATGAATTTCAGTATGTGATGCATCTGTGTAAATTAAATTTCTCGTCTCTTTCTCCGGTTCAGATTTTGATAAATATGGCACTTCTACTGTTTCCTGCAGAACTATGGTGCCTTCTTAGAGAAGGATGGGGCAGGGTTTAGGGGTCAAATCAAGCTTACAGGGTGTAAAAACGGAGATATTGATCTCACGGAGTTTATGTGGACCTATCAGGTACTTGTGTTACTTGGAGATTTCATTCACCATGTTTGGTTGATTATACAACTTTTGCTAACGTTACGGATCTTTCTTTGATACAACTTGTTACTCTCACATTCACACATTAGTTTTTAATTAAATGGCAATGCTCCTGTGATTTCATTTTATCGGCATCGTTTCAGCCAAAAAAGCTCCAACCAGCATAAGGTTTTAAATTGTAGAGAACCTCAGTAAACCATTGCTTAGCCTATATTAAGTATAAACTGCTAGTATGTGGTGGTAGTTGTGCATGTAATACTTTGTGAGGTAAATTTAATGTGATATGAATATTCTATAATGCAGTTTTACAAATAATAAATCGTATTCTAAAAAAAATTAAAGGGCACTCTAAAGGCATTTAGACATGAGTCATGAAAAATAAAATGTAAATGATTTTATCTATAATCGAGATATGATTCACAATAGATTTAAGAACTCTATGAATCAACCAGAAGTTTAAAGCTGGTTGTACTAGGGTGGTATGCTTGATTTTAATTTGAAGAATGGAGTAAGCTTAAAGGCAGTTTTGAGGCTGTTCTTTGGAAATGGTGGTGGTATCACCTGTCATCGCCTCCGCATTTTTCTTGACTAGAAGTTCATCCTAAATTTGTCCTCGCTCCTACGACTATGCGTTTCTAACATATTTTTCCATGGATTCAAATATATATAACAAACTCCTTCAGGTTTATTTTTAAAAAGCACTTTGTTCTTTGTAATAAGCTGGTAGAACAATTTCTTTGTAGAACCTTTTGTTGACACAAGTGAACCAAGCACGTGAATAATTTTGTAAAAGCTTCCTTTGTGGCCCATCGTATAAGATTCCATCGCTAATGGATAATAACAGGGGGGAACATATAGTATTGATTTTAATAAACAATTGAAGAATTTGGATGCTCTAATTACTCTAGATAAGAGAACTCTGGGTAATATGAAGTTCACCTTTTACATTTCCATGTTTACCAAGATTTTTCTCATTTTGTCGTTTCTCAAATTTCTTAATGCTAATGAAACAAAACTGGACATAGCAATATCCATAGGTGTGTACATAATGTGAGAGTCGCGGGCCCCACCCCTCTCACATTATGTACCATGCTATGTACACATAGCACGCTCCACAAAACTGACGACCAAATTTCTGCAATGTGATTATAGGCAGGGCTTAAGGGTGAGTTTCTGAAAATATTTTCCACTGATGACAATATAAGCGCAGGGTGGACAGAATTTCCACGTGATGCAATTCCGTCCAGCTTTTCTTGGTACAAGGTAACTTTTTGAGAACATTATGTGAAATGATATTGCTTTTTTTTTTTATCTGAAATTGATCACTTGTTACAGAAAAAGGCATGAAATGAAACTGTTCGTCAGATGGGGACACATCAATATATTATGTTCTTAATGTAATCAGAGTTTATAATTATAGCTAGCAGAATTTGAGGTCGCCTAGTTATTCATTCTCTCATGACAATGTGGTGGGGAAGCATCCATTGCATAATCGCTAAGTAGTCAAAGTGCTAAAGAAATTGATGCATATACTGTCGTTCATGTCCTCGTGTTACTGTTTTAATGGAATTGCTCAGTTTACAATGGTATCGTGTGACTTCAAATGCTAAATTGAGAGAGTAAATAATGAAATAAAATAATATTATGTAGGCACGAAGTGGAATTTGATACTTTATTTCATTCGAAAGGTTTACCATAATATAGTGTGCAGTGTACACTTGGTCATAGGGGTTCCCTTTGACATCAGAGTGTTTTCATAATCCAGTTCAACCTGATTGAACGAAACAAATTGAAGTTGAAGGCACTTCATTGAGGAAAAATTGGTAATGGGCTGATTAGCACACCTTTGTGACTGAAACAAAAACTAGCAGAGATACTTATGAAAGGAATTCGTATGGTTAGGCAAGCTTGGCATGATTGATATTTTTGCTCCAGCATGAAGGGAGCACTGAAAGTTTATTTCCTATTTATTAGTCAATCCTTGTTGGTAGGTTTGTATAGTAGGTTGTTTGTAGATTTGCGAGTAGTTGGTAGGTTTGTGTTTATAGCAGGTTGTCACCAGGGTTGCAGGTAATTGTCAAGTAGTCGGTAGGTAGAGCTTTTCGTGAACTCTAAACATAGCCTTTGATTTCCTCTTTTGAGATATAAATCAGTTTCTAAACGGACTGTGAATATTCAATTACTATGTTTTTAGCTCTCGATTATTACTACTGAATAATGGCTGCACTAAATAACTAGGAAAAAAACTGGGAATCCTTGTAGCCGCTCACATTTCCATATTGTGTTCTGGATGTTAAGATTATCTAAATATGGATCGTGGACATCAGTCTAGAAAGCAATGGAAAAAGAGAAAAGAAGTGAAAAACACATTGTTTGGACCTTCCAATGCCAGGAGTTAGGTTAATTTTTTCTTTAGGAAGATTTATCATGTTTCTTCTGTTTAGTGGTACATTGACTTAATCAGCTTCCATGTTCACAAGTGCTGGTTTCTATTTCCTTTTCTCCCTGGGTCCCTGGGATTTATTTTTTTGGTGGGTGTTGGCAAAGGGCAGGCAGTCTGATGGCTTCACTGTCTAACATATGTCCATTTTTTGGTTCTCAGTGGTTGAGGGTTAAAATTTCTATGAGCAATCACTATCAACATTCTGCATTTACATGTTTTTAATTATGTCTGTTTCTGTTAAGATTTGCACACATTTCTTCTATTAAACTGTTTGCCATTCTATTGAGCAGACGCATTTTGATGCCCCTGGTGGGGTAGATCCTGTTGTCCTTAATTTTAGAAGTATGGGAAAGGGTCAAGCTTGGGTCAATGGCCACCACATTGGAAGATATTGGACTTTGATTGCCCCAAAAGATGGATGTAAAACTTGTGACTATCGGGGATCTTATGATTCCGACAAATGTACAACAAACTGCGGGAAGCCCACTCAATCTTGGTACTCTTTGACACTAAAACTTGCATAGGTTGTCTGATTTTAATGTTTTCAAGCTTTACTAAGAACCATGAACAGAACAAGGTTGTTTTCCATAGTAGTTGTAATTGCATGTCGAATCTACAATATTATTGCTACTTGTTGATGGTTTTAAATCTGAGTTCATATCCAGGTACCACATACCAAGATCATGGTTACAGGCTGCAGACAATTTGCTTGTCATCTTTGAGGAGACGGAGAAGACCCCGTTTGAGATATCCATCAAGTCGGGTTTCTCAGAAACTATTTGTGCTAAAGTATCAGAGAACCATTATCCACCTCTACATGCTTGGTCCAGTCCAAATATCACCAATAGAACATTTTCACTGAATACCATGATACCTGAATTGCACTTGCAGTGTGATGCTGGACATACAATCTCTTCCATCGAGTTTGCAAGCTATGGAACTCCCCGAGGAAGCTGCCGCAAGTTCTCCAAAGGCAGTTGCCACTCACCTAATTCATTTTCCGTGGTATCTGAGGTACGCATGGCATTTTTTTAGTACATGACAAATTTGTAGTTCCCTTGAAGAACCAGCTTGATGAGTTAGTTATATAGCAATTGCTAGGCATAGTTTTTGTTTATAGGCTCAATACCTGGTTAGCATGATATCTTGTTTTAAACCAAGTTGTTCCTTAAATAGTAAACTAATATTTACTTAAGATGATTAATGCATTTTCCATTTCTACAGGCTTGTAAGGGAAGAAACGGTTGTTCTATTGCAGTTTCCAATGCTGTATTTGGTGGAGACCCGTGTCACCGTGTTGTCAAGACTTTGTCTGTTGAAATTCGATGCTCGTCTTCATCATACAGTAGCTCTGCCTTAATGAAATGACAGCTGAAAAACATGATTGATCCCGGATAGCATGTTTTGTACAGGACCGTATTACACAATACTAAAAAAATAAACGCGCTAATATCTTTCTTGGTGTATACATTTGATCAAGAATTTATGTTTTACGAGATAAAAAATTCAAAAATCTGTCTTTCTTGGTGTACTACTAGAATCAGAGGATTCAATTATATTACTTGGGAATGCGCGCAAAAGAATGGTATTTATTTCTACAAATTCCAATCCCAGTTCACAAACTTCAGATTCCAAACACTCGTAACAGGACTACAAAGCTTTCAAAATCCCATCATTCAATCCTAAGCTGTTGAATTCTTTAGTGTCTGTGGGAATACCCAACATGAATAAAGAAGAGTTAACAAATTGTACTCGTATGCTACAAAGAATAAGCGAATTGGTGGCAAACCAAGTCGAAGAACAGGAAAACAAAATTTTCCACAGAAATTATTGTATCTTGTAAAATAAAAGGAGATTGGAGAAAATTCTCTTTTTTTCTATCTTCCCATTCGAGACCAATGTTACATATATATATACAAAACCTATGAACTATCTTAGGAAAGTATG